AAGGGGTGAAACTTGGAAGTATTAAAGAAAAATTATTCTAATCAAGGGAACAGCCAGTGCAAAGGCCCTGAGATGGCAGAGCGCTAGGACTTCAAAGAAAAGCAAAAAAGCCAGTAAGACTACAGCACAATGAATAAGGAAAAGAGTGACAGAAGAGAGGACAAGAACTATTGGGGGGCCAAGTCATTTAAGGCTTTATAGGCTTTACTCTGAAAAAGATAGGAAACCTTTGGAGATTTTGAGCAGAAGAAGGACATGACCTGACTCAAGTTTTAAAAGGCTCACTCTGGCTATTGAGAATAGACTATAGGGAAGTCAAAAAGAAAGAGAGAGAAAAAAAGACAAAGTTATTGCAATAATCAAGGTAAGAGATGATATCTTTTTTTTTTTTTTTTTTTTTTTTGAGACAGAGTCTTGTTCTGTCACCCAGGCTGGAGTGCAGTGGTACGATCTCAGCTCACTGCAGCCTCCACCTCCCAGGTTCAAGCAATTCTCCTGTCTCACCTTCTCAAGTAGCTGGAAGCACAGGCACACGCCACTATGCCCGACTAATTTTTGTATTTTTAGTTTTTAGTAGAGATGGGGTTTTACCATGTTGGCCAGGCTGGTCTCAAACTCCTGACCTCAGGTGATCCACTCACCTCAGCCTCCCAAAGTTAGGATTACAGACGTAAGCCACTGTGCCCAGCCTGAGAGATGATATCTCGACAAAAGTCATAGCAGTGGATGTGGGTAAGAAAATTGGAACAGAAAGAGATGATTATAATTAGTAGTATTATGGATATATTTTTAAGGTGGAGCCAACAAGATTTCCTGAAAGATTGGTGGAGGGGTGTGAGAAAAAGAGAGGAATGAAAGAAAGTCCAGGGGTTTTGGCCCAAGCAACTGGATAGATGAATTGCTGTTAGTAGAGATGAAGCTGAAGGCAGGAGAATTAGAGTTGAGGGGAAAAATTTGGAGTTCTGTTTTAAACATGTTGACTTTAAATTAATATTAAAAATCTTTGTGGAGATTTTTGAATAGACAGAAAGGACTTCAGGTGACAGGTCCAGGCTTTGAGCATCAGTGGTAGATGCTTTTAAAAGATAGCATAGTTTTTGAAAGCCATGAGACCACAGGAAATTGTAGATATATAAAAATGTTCAAAGATTGCCCCCTGAAGTGGGACAAGGTCTAGAGGTCAAGTATATTTGGAGGAGCTACCAAAGGAGATGAGAGAGAACAACCAGTGATGTAAAAGGAACACTAAGAGAGAGTGGTACACAAAGGCCAAGAAAAGAAAATATTCAAGAAAGGAAGTGGTCAATTTTATTGAAAGCTGCTGTTAGATCAGGAAAGATGAGGACTGAGAAATGACCAAAGTAAAGTGGAAAGTAAAAAATAGAAGTATACTTACAGCTGAACATTTAATGCATTTTCTCTTACATAATATTTTAAAAGACCCAAATGAAAACATGTGAGATGCAAACATTTATCATTTTCACCATAAGTTTGGTGACCATATTTCCCAAATACCAAAATTAATACAAGTGGTGTCAAAATGGAGCAATATATTTGAAAGTAGGATTGATCTCTAATACTCGAGCCATATTTACAGCAGATCAAGAAAAAAACCCTCAGAAGAGAGATTCACTCATTTCATTCTGGGTCACTTTTCACCCCACTGAGAATCAGTGACTCATTCCTCCATTTACTCCTTTATGTTATAAATCATTGATGTGTATAGCTCTCTGTCCCTTTATCCACCTATCTAACCATTCTCTACCTACCTATTCACAAAAGAAATGCTGCTTCTAAAAGAAGATAGTCCTAACAGGCTGGTAGAATTTTTGCCAACAAGATCAGAAGAGTTGGTAACATTTTTTTGATTAATATCTATAGTCGTTATAGAAGATTATACTATTCTTTGCTGCAAGAACAAAACCCACTGTGAGAAACACATACTAAAACTATCATTGGTAATTTGTGTCTCTTAGTGCAAGGAGATTTTGAATCTTTAAGGGGAAGGTCAAGGATGAGCTGTTTCCAAATGCAGCAGTAATGGCAATGCTTCTCAAAAGGACCACAAATTACAGTGAAGATGATGAAGATACGTTCAGTGGATCTGAAGTTCCTGAAGGATGTTCAGGAGTAAATATCAGATAGGAAGGGATATATAGATGTATGGGTTTATAGAACAAGAGCGAACTCTATTCTGGATTTATAAAGTTAACAATTTGAGCTATTGTATGGTGTGAAAGCGTTGGTATACATGGAGTCACACAGAGAGATTGTTGAGAATTGAAAGAGCTGAATGACTACCCTGTTAAATTTTTCAGGGGGCCTCCCTCTCTTTCAGAACAATGCTTTATCAACCTTACAGCAGTGTTTTTCTTTTAAAATGCTATTTCTCATCAAATGATTATAAAAATAAACCATGGGCGAAAATAGTAAAAGCAATCCATCATCAGTCTTCATATCTCATCAAGGAACACACTGAGAGGTCTTTTCTATTTTCCACTGTCTCCTGCCCTGCTATTTTAGGATTGCAGTTGTTCCTCTATTTTGTTCAAGGCTACGGTATTTTCTTGGGGACATTTCTGAATGGGGATATTCAGAACAGAATAATCTTCATAAAAACAACAGAGCATTAAGCCTTCTGAGATGGCATGTGTCATGATAGTATTTTGTTTGCCGTTTCATTTCTTCTGAACCATAATGTGCTTCATTCTTGTGTGTAAGCACTGTGTGAACAGACATGAAATGGCTCTGAAAAAAAACACTGCTGCTTCTCTTCTATGATGTTTATTACTTTCCTCTTGGTAAAAACAGTAATGGCATTATTAGGACTTTCTCTGATAAAACTATTTCTTTAAAAAGTCAGATTTGATTCTACAGACATTTTAAATTCAACACACTACATCTTGCACTAGCATCTAATTCAAGTTTCTGATTATAGACCTTCTTTCCTTGCTCTCATTACCTTTTTGTGACTAGGACTGTTGACTTTTTTTCTTGTGACATCCATAACCCAGCATCTTGGAAACCACATATATTTGCATAACTCACTGACCTAGAAAAAATGTTAAAAATCTATGTCTTAGTCTTGAATTACTAGAAATATTTAAAATTGTATGGCTATTTTAATACTTTGGAGACTTTAGCATGAGTTTAAACTTGTCAGTTAACAGAACTGGAGATGTACTTTGCCATTAAGTTTCCTCTTAGCACTTCAATTCAAAATATTTTCCTATTATTTTCCTTGAGAAATTTAACTTGAAACTTTCATTATAATTGAAGCAGGGGTTGGTTTTTGCCCAAGAAAAAAAAATCATGAACAAAGTTCATAACATGAATAATGTACATAGGAGAATATTTAAAAGATGTGTGTGCTTGTATTCATATGCAGAGATAGAAGGTGTTCAACAACTAGGAACCCAAATTACCAAACTGAGTACCAGAAGTTGCCTTGGCATGAGGCATTGAGGCAAAATAGAGGTTGACAGGATGGTGAGAGTTAGGCAGAATAAGGATGTGGGGGATAAAGGCACTCTGAGGTTGCTTTTTAAGGCAGTCAATTTTATGTATGGACTTTTTCACACAACTCCCAAAGAAACCGTATTACAATTTCAACTTTTTAATTTTAATTTTTTTATTTTTAAAGATGAGGTCTCACTATGTTGCACAGGCTGGACTTTAATTCCTTGTCTCAAGTGATCCTCCAGCCTCATCAACTGTTTTTAGTATTAAGACATGTGTGATATAATCATCCTCACCTTATTGCTGTTGGCATAGGGCTGAGCAAGGCATGAGCTGAGGATCAGGGAAGAGTAAGAATGAGGAGACACCTAGACACAATCTGAAAGACAAACTACAGATAACCAAGAGGTCTGTATTTACCAAGCTCGCTCATTTCACGGAAGGCCATCAGTCATTCTTAACATAAGCATCCGCCCATTCTCTAGGAATTTACATGAATGAATGCTCCGACTGTCATGATTTCTCTTTTAAAGTTTTAATGGCCATACTAATTTACTTTAAATGAATACATAGAATTTCTGCTTAATAATGATAGCTGTTTTTTTTAATTTGAAAATTTTGGAGTTCCTGATATGTTTCCACACACACAAACACACAAACATATATATATATGGAATTTGGGAAAGGGGGGATATTTGAGTAGTAGTAATTTGATCTACTAATTTAGCATCAATCTCCATGGGGAATTCTTAATTATATATTTAATGATTCTCTCAGCACTCAAAAACCATATGCCAATATCCTTAAAACAAAAGTCTCCTAAGATTGTCTGGGGTTAATAATGTGTTGCAGATATTTCTTGGTAATAAAAAAGGGGGGAAACTTGCACATTTCAAGTCACTTTAATACATTTTGACTCAGCTATGACAAATAGCTGCCTCAAGTAAATGCATCAGAATGACTTTCTAGTAAACAGCCTTGCAAAATTGACTCCAAGTTTCCTTGTTACAGGTAACAACTTAGGGCTAGAAATTACTTTAGACTTATAGAATGTAGAGAATTTTGCTCTTTTCATGATGAGAATGATGGATGGAAAGCCTTCTTTCCCTTACTGCTTTGAAGGATGTATGATTGTGCCTTTTGGAAACCTCAGAACCAATCTTTATTTTCTACTGCAACAAATGTCAGATACTCAGAATATTTGAGAAATGGTGAGATCTGGTTGGCTTGCTATTTTGTTTTTCTGATGTTTAAGAGCTTTTTTTTCTTTGCATGTTTGTTTCAGCAATCACTTTAAGAGAAAAGGTGGGTACAAGGAGAACATTATAAAATATATTAGTCCTTTCTCCTGCCTTAGTTGAGTTTGTATTAATTCAATAAATACTTATTGATCATCTTTGTGCTAGTCAATGTGAATTAAGAACTATATGTTTTTGCCCCCCCCCCCGCAAAAGCTCACGATTTAGCAGTAAGAGATAGGCATATAAATGCAATTATGTAGTATATTAGTCAGAATAGGTTAAATGCTGTAACAAACAGAGTTATTTTCAGTGTTTTAACACAACAAAGATTTATTATTTGGTTACATCACCAACGACTGGGGATACACAGAGAGGATATGGTGGGGTTTCTGCTTCACATAGTCAACCAGGGACCCAGGCTTCTTCCAGAGTGACTCTGCCATCTTTTGGGGCCTCAGAGAACTCCACCAGATTTTCTTTATCTGTTTAGCAGGCAAGGGAGGTGTCATGGTCCAGGCCTGGAAGAACCATTCTTACATGTCCTGTTGGTCAAAATTCAGACGCATGACTATATCAAACTTCTGACAGGCTGGAAAATATAGTTTAAAATTTTCAATTTATCTTTTGCCAATGAAATATATACTACTAGGCATTTCAAGTTCCTCTGCATTTTAGCTTCATTGTATCTTTCCAACTATATATCCCATTTCTTCCTTCACATGATCTGGTCAAATAATTATTCCTTGTTCCCTGAGCTAGTTTTCTACATCCCATGCTTAGTTTGTTTTTATGAAAGGCTCTTCCCTATCAACTTTTTTTCCAGATTTTCTTATCTTTAGGGCCAGTTTAAAAATTCACCTCTTCTATGAAACCTCCATTATAGGAATGGTACAAATTAACTTAGTCATCACTCAAACATGAAAATAAAATGTTTTGGTTTTTTTTTTTGTAATTGATCAATACTTCCTCACAAGTTCTGTGCTTCCCAACATAAGAGGAAAAAGAAAAAATAAAATAAAACTAAGCACAACTTCCAACATAAGAGTAGGAAAAAAACTAGTTCCTGTAAGTTTCAAAATGCAGCTCAATTTAATACATTAAACATCCTTAAAGCCCTTTGAACTGGATCAAAACATCTTTACAGGTGTTGTTTAATGTGTAATATACAGTCATGTATTTAACATTTCAGTCAATGACGGATAGCATATATGATGGTTGTCCCATAGGATTACAATGAGCTGGAAAATTCCTATCACCGAGTGGTGGTATAGCCATTATAAGTCATTGCACAATGCATTACTTACATGTTTGTGGTGATGTTAGTGTGAACAAACCTACTGCACTGCCATTTGTATAAAAGTCTAGCACAAACAGTTTTGTACAGTACATAATACTTGATAATAAGAAACAACTATGTTACTGATTTATTATTTACTATACTATAAATATTATTATTTGCCTTCTATTTAGAAAAGAAAAAAGCTAACTGTAAAACAGCCTTAGACTAGTCCTTCAGGAGGTATTCCAGAAGAAGGCGTTGTTGTCATAGGAGAGGACAGTATCATGCATTGCCTCTGAAGACCTTCCACTGGGACAACATATGGAGGTGGAAGATAGCGATATTGATGATCCTGACCCTGTGTAGGCCTAGGCTAATGTGTGTTTGTCTTCATTTTTAACAAAAAAAAAGTTTACAAAGTAAAAAAGAATCTTAAAAACAGAAAAAAGTTATAGAATACAGATATAAGGAAAAAACATTTTAGTAGAGTTGTACACTTTTGCGTTCAAAGTTGTGTCATTAGAAGATTCAAAAAGTTTTAAAAATTAAAAAGTTTATAAAGTGAAAAAGTTACAGTAAGCTAAAGTTAATTTACTGTTGAAGAAACATATTTTTCATAAATGTAGTGTGGCCTAAGTGTACAATGTATATAAAAACCACAATAGTGTACAGTCACAAGCCTTCACATTCACTCATCACTTACTCACGGACTCACCCAGAACAACTTCCAGTCCTGCAAGCTCCATTCCTGTTAAGTGCCCTATGGAGGTACACCATTTTTTATCCTATATGCTGGATTTTTACTGTGCCTTTTCTCTGTTTAGATACACAAATACTTACCACTGTGTTATAATCACCTACAGCATGTAGTACAGTAACCCGCTATACACATTTGTAGCCTAGGAGCAATAGCCTGTATCATATAGCTTGGGCATGTAGTAAATTATACCATCTAGGTTTGTGTAAGTGTTTTTTTTTTATTATACTATAAATATCATTATTTTAGAGTATGTGCCTTCTATTTAGAAAAGAAAAAAGTCAACTGTAAAACAGCCTCAGACTCGTCCTTTGGGCGGTATTCCAGAAGAAGGCATTGTTATCATAGGAGAGGACAGCAGGTTTGTGTAAGTATGCTCTATGATGTTCACACAACAACAAAATTGCCTAATGATGCCTTTCTCAGAAAGTATTCCCATTGTGATGTGACACGTGATTGTATACCTGTTTTTATATTTTTATCTATCTTCTCTATCTGAAAGGTATAAATAGAACAAACAGCTATGAACCTAATACTCAGCTTAAGCAGTAAAACATTATTAATGCAGCTGAATCCTCTTATACCTCCCAGTCACATCTCCCTTTATATTGAGTATTTTATACATAACCTTTCAGATTCTCTCTCCCTCACATGTCTCCTGGACCCTTGGCTGTTCCATGTGAGCTGCCAGTGCCACTGCAGTACACTCAGGGCAGAGGTTTCACTGCCTGAGTTCCAGCAGGCAAGCACTAGAAATCTCTGCATCTTCTTACTACTTCCAGATTTGAATGAAGCATCATGCTACAAAGCACTGGAGATACCTTCCATGGCAGTTGTGCAAAGGCCAGGTGAGAGAACCTAGAAGCGTGGGAAAATTAGTTTCCTGACAGTAAATTATGACCAATGAGAGCAAAAAGACTGGAAGGATCCAAAATAATCATTTCCTCTCCCTTCCTTTCTCTAATGGACTGTTCTGAGGATAGTTCTTTGTGCTGCCTGTGCAGTTAACACATTGCTGTGCTTCTCTTCCTTATCCTTTCCTGTCTCATTTTGCCTTTCCTTCACTCTTGCTGCCTTGAGATCACATCTCCCAATATTTATCCCTGTATTAGGCTCTGTTTTGGGGCCTGACCTAAGGTGCTCCCCACCACCCAGAGCTAATAATTATCATAAATTTTAGGTATAATATTTCATTTAATTTTGTATGCTTTTATATGTATATGCATAAATCCATAACGATGTATAATATTCTTACATGCTCTCAAAATTTATATACATTTAAAACATAAGTATAATCTATATGTCTTTATCAAACTTGCATTTAAAATCTAATGTTATATTCATGAAAATTACTCATATTGAAAGATACCAGCCTAGTCCATTTTCACTCCTGTAGTGTATTTCATAATTTATCTATTTTCTTGTTGATATACTTTTGAATTGTTTCCAATCTGCTGCTCCTATAAGTAATGCTGTAAAGAATACTCTTACACGTTTTCTTGTGCAAATGTGACAGAATTTCTCATGGAATTGCTAGGCCACAGGGCACATGCATATTCAACTTTATTAGGTATTGCTGCATTGCTCTGCAGTCTGTATAATCCCCACCTGCAATACATGAACATTCTCATTGTATCCTTGGTAACATTTCATATTGTCAGGTTTAAGCATTCATCATTCTGATAGTCATGATATAATGTGTCACCTTTGTTTAATCTGCCATTGTTGAAGTTCAATATGGTTTCAAGAGTTTACTGGCTATTTGGATTTCCTCTTCCTTCATCCATTTTCAATTGGATTGCTTTCTTATTGATCAACAGGAGTTCTTTCTGTGTTCCACATACCTGTTAGTCCCAGTTTGAGGCTTGTAGTTTCCATCTGTTTAGGGTGTCTTTTCATTCAGAAAATTTCTAATTTAGCCAGATTTGACTGTAAGCAATTGACGAATATATTTAATGAATTTTACTATTGTATTGCTTAAGAAATTCTAACAATACAAAGACAGTGTCCTATATTAACTATTTTCTACATGTTTTACAGATTTTCTTTTCACGTTTAGGCCTTTAATTCACTGAAATTGGTTTTTGCAGAAGGTGTGAAATAGGAATTTTATTTGATTATTTTCATATAGATAAATAATTGCCCTAGTACCATGTATTGAATAGCCTGTTTTTTCCTTGCTGACCTGTATACTGTCTTTGCTTTCACATATGTTCCATATATATATACACATATATATACACACACACATCTAAGTCTGTTTCTGGTTTTCCTATTGTGATCCATTGGACTACTTATTTTTCCCTGTATTAATACAAACTGTCTGTATTATAAGTCTGGTATCTCGTAGATAGAAATGTCTTACTTTGTTCTCTTTTTGCAAAATAATCTGGAAGTTTTTGGCCTTTTGCTTTTTCATCAAAATTTTAAGTAAACTTATAAAAGTTCCATGAAAAAACCTTTTTTCCATGAAAAGTTCTTATATGAATTGCATTTGTTTATCATTTTATTAGAATTAAATTTCTATTTGATTCATCTCAGACTTTATTACAAAGTAGTCTCTCAGTAAATACTCATTAACTAAATGAAAGAAGGATAACAATTCTAAGTTTCAGGACAATGTGCCCACCATAAGCTTTAACTATGCTTAGAATTGCAAACTAAGTTTTAAATTAAGCAAAATAAAATTTAAAAATTAACTGTTGCAAACCCTTCATCATGTAATAAAATCAGAAGATCTTAATTTTTTCTAAGGGTATTGAACTTACTCATTCATATATTTAAATATAACATATGTAAAGTCCCTAGCACATCTGTTATTATTGTTATACATGGTAACTATTCATGGCATGGTTGACTACATCCTCATTCCCTTTTGATATGCCATTGTTCTATTTTAATAGCCAAGATCATAAAATGCCTATGTGTGATTTTTTAATATGCTAGGGAAACAAAAATAACTTTTTATATCTTTAAAAATACTATACATTTTTAAAAAAAATTATTACTTACTACCTTTTTAATCCATTGATTTGAAATGCTAGTAGCCTCTCATCAAACTGTAGTGACTAGTCATGTATGGCTATTTGCTTGCTGAAGTTTAACAGTAGCAGTAGCAGACATAAATCTAAAAGTTACTTTTATGAAGCATAAGATAATCTTTTAAATACCTAAAAAAAAAAAAATACAGATTTCTGCTTCTGTGCTTTTTCTAAGGGATAAATGGACTACCAGTGTGAGCTAATGTGACACGAAGGATTTTCTAAGGCAAGGAAGCAAATACTGACTAGTATCTTTACCTACATAAGCATATCCTAATTGAATGACATAATCTAGAGTTGGAAGTTGCCTTGGTAAGATTTATTACTATTTCCTTCCTCTCTCCCCATTTCACTTCCCCAATAATGTCTCTGTTCCTCATTATGAAAAATAAAGTTCATGTTTGAAAGGCAGTTTTCAAATCCACGTGGGTATGCTTTACAAACTGAGATGGAGAAATTGACATG